CCCCTCCGCCCTCCCGTGGGCGGCACTGCGGCTCTTGGGGCTTTTCCTGCCCCCCATGAAAGGACCAGAACATGGCTGTCCTGGAGCAGCCCCGGGGCGGTGAAAGGTGGAGAGGGGGTGCACGTGGCCCAGCTCCCTCGCCTGCCAGGGGGGAGCTCTGAGCCGGGGTCTACACCTGCTGGTTCACCCGGCTTGGTGACACACCCTCTCCTGGCTGTCTCCCCTGCCTGTGTCACCTCCCCACTCCCCAACCGGTTTCCTTCACCTCCAAATAAATGACCTTTGTTTTGGGGTCTCCTGAGAACCCCAGCCTGAGGTGCCCCCACCCCTCCCTGGAAACCCCGGAAGCTTCGGAGAGTCCCTGACAGCTCATTTGTCTCGAGAGATTCAGAGCTGGGTCCGTGGGGCCGCAGGGACCCGAGCTGGGAGCCGTGCCGGAATGGGCGCCTGTGGGCCGCGTGGAGGGGCGGTTTCAAACCTCCGGGAGATTTCACTGGAAAGGAGGCGAGGACTGCGCTGGCGACGGGGTGATCAGGGAGGAAAGTGCGGAGAATGTCCGGCTGGTCGATGCGACCTTGGCTGAAGCACCTGGTTTTCATTCACTTTATTCTTCGCACGGTCTCCCCGGCCCCTCGGCCTTGGACTTGGTCTTTGGGAACCTGGAGTCAGGACTCGTTCTCGATGGTTTCTACAGGGGGTCAGAGAGCAGGGGTCGGGGAGGGATGCGGTCGGCCGAGGCCGGCAGGAGAACAGGGCCCTGAAGCCCTCGAACCCGGGCTCGCAACCTCTCCTGTGCACCTGAGGCAGGTGGGCAGCAAGGGACAGGGACACGCAGGTCCTGGGCTCCACGTCCTAGAGATTCGATGGCAGGTCAGGACCAGGCCCGGGAACGTGGGCTCCAAGTCTGGCCAGGAGGTTCAGGTGTGGGGCGCATGGAGGCCGGATCCAGAAGTTCTGTCTGGAGCTGGCTGTCGGGGGCCTTGGAGGTTCCTGTCCCACAACTGGGCCTTCTCTGCCATCTCCCAGGCCTGAGGTTACATCTACAGCTCGATTCTGCTGAGGCCAAACTGAGGCCCAGAGCGGTTAGAGATTTTCCCAGTGCCACACAGCAGGGAGGCTCCAGCCCTGCAGGTGACGGACGCGGCAGGCTCCCTTCCCTGACCCCTGCTCTTCCTGGGGAGACACGAGTGGGGCTGGGGCCTGAGCCACCCCGGCCCGGAGACCAGGCGGCCTCCTCTGACTGACCACCCTCTGCCCGCAGTGACGGGCGGGCTGGAGTCCCGCGGTGCCCTCCGCAAGATGAGCGACCTGCTGGAGCTGATGGTGAAGCGCATGGACGCACTGGCCAGGCTGGAGAACAGCAGCGAGCTGCACCGTGCTCCCGGGCACGGGCACGGGCACGGGCACTCGGCCCTGGACAGGTGAGGGGGCATGGAGCGGGGGAGGGGTGGGCCCAGGTGTGCAGCCTCGAAACGCACTCCTAGAGCTCAGCGGGGGAGGGGTGCATCGGCCACCCCCTTTTTTATTCTGGAGAAACTGTAAGAATACAGAGAGCCCCACGGTCATGAACCCCGAGCGCCTTCTGCGTCCTCGGGTTCGACAGCGTTAACACTGTCAGGTCGGTGGCCCGTCTTTCCTCCTTTTTAATAAAACATCCCGGGTGGAAGCTGCAGGGCCTTTCCTGGCCTTGGAGCGAGGCTTCCAGCGCCTTCTCAGTGCGTCACACCTGCGTTCCCAACACCCGCGCCTTCTCCGTCACAGGGTCGCAGGCCACAGGGCGCGGGGTTACAGGTCCCACAGGCGGCGTCCCACCTGCGCTTTCCCTTCCGCGTTGCAGTTTGGAGCTCTGTCCATTTTTTCTTTTTTTAAGTGTTTTATTGATTTCAGAGGGGAAGGAGGGGAGAGAGAGAGAGAGCGGAATATCAAGACTGGGAGTCCTGCCCCCCCCCCAGGCGGGGCTTTCGGGGAGGTACTGGGCCCCACCACCCCCGGGAGATGAGCTGCGCCCGATCTTTCGGACCCTGGGGTCCCTTGGGAGGTGGTTCGCTGTGCGTTCTCACTGCTGGAGAGTCACCGGCCCTGGGAAAGGCTGTCCCTCAGCCAGGGTGATCTGCTGACAGTGTGCTCCTGCTAAACACTGTGAAATCCGCACTTGGAGACAATTTGCAGCAAAGCTCTGTCTCGGCCAGCGTGTGTGATGTAAAAGCTGAAGCCCCAGGCCTTTCCGAAGAGACAGGCGGGAAGGGAGAGGGAGACAGAAACATTAGTGATGAGAGAACCGTCTGTCGCTGCCTCCTGCTCGCCCCTCTACAGGGATGGAGCCCGCCACGTGGTCCTGTGCCCTAACCGGGAATCGAACCGTGACCTCCTGGTTCATAGGTCGACGCTCAACCACTGAGCCACGCTGACAGGCCCGCCAGAATTTAGAAGTTTGTGTAGAGGCACATTCAGTGTGTCTCTGGGTTTCTTCCTGGCTGGCCTGCCCCTCCCTCCCTGCCCTGCCCTCCCTCTCCTGGGGGGCGGGGAGCACACACCACCTCCCAGCTCCAGTCCGGGAAATAGTGACCTCCATCATGACCAACAGAGCCCACGAGCCCACCGGCAGAGCCATGATTTCAGGAACAGGTGCTTCTGGCTCCGGAGAGAGACAGCGGGAGTGTCCCGGGCTTGCTCCCTCCTCCCCACGGTGTTGCTGGGCTGCCTCTGGGATCCTGGGCGCCTCAACCCGGGCGCCCGCTGCTGTGGGCGCAGAATCGGGAACACGGTCACCCCCTGACCTGGCAGTTCACCCTGGGACTCCGTCTTAGGAAGACTTTCCTTCAGGGCCAGTTCTTTCCCTGGTGCTCATTGTGGCCTTTTCAATAGCGTTAGGAAGTTCGAGCCGCGATTTCAGTGCCCACGGCGAGGGGGCGGTTAGACACAGACGGACGGCACCTCCGCTCAGTGGGCGTGGGCAGCCATCCGCAGACAAGCGTGTTGATGGGGAAATGCAGGGATTTTTTCCTTTTTCAATCCTCACCAGAGGACATGTTTTTGTTGATTTTACGGTAGAGAGAGGGGAGGGGAGAGAGAGAGAAACATTGATGTGAGAGAGAAACATCGATCGGTGGCCTCTGTAAGTGCCCGTCCGGGGATCAAACCTGCAACCTACGTATGTGCCCTGACTGGGAACTGAACCCTCAACGGATTGGTGTACGGGGACGATGCTCCAGCCAGCTGAGCCACCGGCCAGGGCAGAGATGCGGGGATTTTAATGGGAAGGGAAAATGTGAAGAAAGCAGCTACGTACCTAGCAATTGTAGGGTTGGGTCACATAGTGTGTAAAACTGAACAAAAATAAAACACACAGAAAAAGACGGCAGAAAGTGGACATGTCAGAATTCCTGTCTGAGGGGCATGAGATAAGGCGTTTCCCCCAAAAAAATTTTGTTCTGAAAAGAAGCTTTATGTAAAAACTCAAAAATGCTTCTAAACTCCCCCAGCCCAACTCCAGCTCTGTTCCCATCAAAAGTGGGAAGATATCTATCATCTATTATCTATCATCTATCTATCTGTTATTTATTATCTATAATCTATCACCTATTATCTATCTATCATTTATCACCTATCATCTATCCTTTATCTATCAACTATCTATTATCTATCATCTATCATCTATTTATCATTTATCATTTATTATCTATCATCTACCTATCATTTATCTATCATCTATCATCTATCATTTATCTGTCATATATTATCTATCAACTATCTATTACCTGTCTATCATATATCATCTATCTATCATTTATCATCTATCATCTATCTGTTATCTATCTATTACCTGTCTATCACCTATCTATCTACTGGCACATGTAGGCATGTGTGTATGTATATTTCCTGGTGCGGACAGGAGCCATCTGGGTTCTTGCTGGGGGAGGGGCTGGCAGGCTTGTGGTCATCTGTTTGGAGCCCCCACAGCACTGGGGGCTGTGGATGGGGGTGAAGGTGGGCCAAGAAGGGAGCAGTGAAAACGCAGGGAGGGGGTTCCCTCTGTCTGCGGGCACTGGTGCGGGAGTCTCCATGTTTTTAAAGGAAAGTGCTCAGTTTCATAATAAAATAACTCCCAGCAAGCACGGTGGCCAGCTGTGCAAAAATCGATCCCCCGTTAATTGAATGTAACCCTCACATCATGGGAGGAGCTGGAGATGAACCCTCCTTCCCCGGGCGTCCTGGGCGCCAGCTCCTCAGGGGCCAGGGGAAGGCCGCTGGCTCGCTGATTGCCTCGCCGGCTGGCCAGAGCCTGGCCTGGCTTTCTTTACTTTCCAAGTAAGAAGGGATCCTTGCGGGGGGATTTCTGGTGCTTAGTAGGTGTGCAGGCCAGGCCTCACGCGCCGAGAACACAGGACTGTGGTGCAGCTGCAGTGGACGGGGCAATGCAGGCCCAGTGGGTCTGGCTTCCGCCTTCTCGGGCCAGTTCCCTCCTTAAAGGAGGGGCGGTGGGGCCTGCAGGTACTGAGGTCCCGTCCAGCTCAGAGCTCCTGGGTTTGGGCGGGCTCTCTCCCGTGCCCCACGGAGGGCAATGGGAAGGGTTCGGGCCCAGCGAGGGGTGGGGCAGGGCGGTGTCAGCAGATCGCCAGCCGTGGCGCTCCCCCTCGCACCCAGCCCGGGCTGTGTGTGGGCCGCCATCTCAGTCTGATTGGGGCCATGGGGGGCACCTTTATGGGAGCGAGGCCCTACCCAGGTCTGCGGTTCCCAGAGGAAGGACGGGGCTCCGGCAGGGGAAGGGCCCAGGTCTCACGGCTGCGACTTTTATTCTTTTTTTTTTTTTAAAGCTTCTCCGAGACGGAGCCTAATCTTACTGTATTTGAAAATAGAAAGCGGCCGCGTGCTCGGTCCAGTGTAATAATAGTCACGCCGGGAGCTCTGTGTGAACGGGCCGAGCTTGTGAAGTCAGACAGCTGCCATCTGCACCATTTCAAGCCGACCCACTGGTGTGCTTTACGCAGGGCGCTTGTCGAAGGGAAACTGCTGAAGCCCCCCAAAAAGTCAAGTGCTCGGCTCTGCGGCTGGATCTATGCCACTGCCTCTCGGGGGCGGGGTGGCGGCTGTAGGCGGGATGAGGCAGCATCTATTGAGTGCCTGCTGCATGCGGAGCATCTTACATTCCGCCCGAGGGCTGAGCCTTACCACCGCCCTGCGAGGTCATTGAGGTTGTTCAGGTTTTATAGGAGCCGGCCCCTGGGTTCAGAGAGGTTAGGTGACTTGCCCAAGGTCACACAGCTGTCCGGTGGAGCCAGGATTTGAATCCAGGGCCTCTGACTCTGAGACCCTCATTCTTTCCAGTACATCCCGGATAACGTGCGAGTCACTGACCGAGGGTGACGGATTAAAAACCACTTTATTTCTTTTATTTTTTTTGTTTTGTTTTTATATTTTTATTGGTTTCAGAGAGGAAGGCAGAGGGAGAGAGAGAGAAACATCAGTGATGAGAGGGAATCATTGATTGGCTGCCTCCTGCATGCCCTGCACTGGGGATCGAGCCTACAACCCAGGCTTGTGCCCACAGCTGATGCTCTATCCACTGAGCCAAACCGGCTAGGGCTCTTCTTTTTTTAAAAAAATATGTTTTTATTGATTTCAGAGAGGAAGGGAGAGGGAGAGAGAAACATCAGTGATGAGAGGGAATCATTGATTGGCTGCCTCCTGCACACTGAGGATCGAGCCCACAACCTGGGCACGTGCCCTGGGCAAGAGAAGCATTTGTCTTTTAACTCTCTTCTCGCTCTTGTTTGTAACTCACGGGAGACGGTTGTGGGTTGAATCGTGTCCTCCAGGAAGTCACGTTGAAGTCCGAACCCGCAGTCCCTAAAGGCGGGATCTGATTTGGAAATAGGCTGGTGTGGCTCAGTGGTTGAGCGTTGACCTATGAACCAGGAGGTCTCCCAGTTCAAGTCCCAGTCAGGGCACATGCCCGGGTTGTGGGTTCCATCCCCAGAGGGAGGCATGCCAGTCAATGATAGGAGGCAGCCAATCAATGATTCCCTCTCACCATTGACGTTTCCCTCCCTCTCCCTTCTCTCTGAAATCAATGAAAGTATAGGGGAGAAAAGATAAAGGCAATACGGCCTTTGCAGACGTCACTAAGACCAGGACGTCCTGGCTCTGGCTGGGCCCCGACCCCTGACCCAGAGACGGGTGTCCCTAGCAGAAGGGGAAGTTTGGACACAGGGGAGGCTGAGTGAAGACAGAGAGGGGCTGATGCAGCCACAGCCCAGGGTCTCCAAACCCAGAGGAGGAGGGGAGGGGTTTTCCCAGGTGGACAATCCTCCTTCATGGACGTAGGTAATTCCATTATGAGGGGCAATAAAGACCCAGTTCTTGTAAAAGGATAAACAGGAGCTTAACTGCGGGGGTCTGCGGACAAGGTGAGAATCAAAGGGAGCCGAGTTAATGGGCTCAGAGTGGCAGGCGGCTCCCGGAGAGGCCGGGGTCTCCCCGCACTGAGGGGCCGGGCCGGGCGGGCAGAGCGAAAACCGGGAGCGCTGGCCCCGAGGTACACACTGCGCGCCGGCCAGTGAATTCTCCCAGATAAAGGCCACGCCAGTCTTGGTGGTGGGTGGAGGGCCATGATGTTTGTGGCAGGAAATACGTCTCAGACCCTGGGAGGTGTTTGTTCCTGGGACCTGACAATGACCTCCTGGCGGGTTAACAGCGGGCAAGGCCCCAGCTGCTTTGGGGGAGTTATCGGGGAGACGGGGTCCTTCCGGGAGGAGCTGCGGGAAGACCCAGGGCAGCGGGCGCTGGGAGGGGGGTGTCCCCAGGAGGCCCCTGGACTTCTGCTGGCCTAGTTTGTTTTAAAATATGTTTTCATTGATTTCAGAGAGCGGCAGGGAGAGGGGGAGGGAAGGAGAGAGAGTGAAAGAGGGTGAGAGAGGAAGGGAAAGGAAGGGAGAGGGTGAAGGAGGGGGAGGGAGAGAGAGAGGGAAGGAGGGAGAGGGAGACAGAAACATCAATGATGAGAGTCATGGACCGGCTGCCTCCTGCACGCCCCACACTGGGGATGGAGCCCGCAGCCCAGGCTGTGCCCTGACCGGGAATCGAGCCCTGACCTCCTGGCTCATAGGTTGACGCTCAACCTCTGAGCCCTGCGGCCGGGCCTTCCTGGTTTTTGAAGGAATTTCTCAGGCTGCCTGGGCCTCGGGCACTGCCCTGCTGTCCCGTGCAGACAGGACTGGCCAGGTGGGCCCGGCGTGTGACCAGTGTCTGCGCGCTGCGTGC